AAAAAAAAAAAAAAAACCCACTTGGTAAAACTTGTTCAAATGGAACCACTAACAAATTGCCTATAAAATGTGCATGTTTTGGTGAAACCCTTCCCTCACTTCTATGATTGTTATTTAACCTAAATGTTATTTATTGAAAAGAGCAAAGAAATAGTGCTGACCCTTTAGGGACAGGATGAAACAAAAGCAGCTCTGCAAGTCTGCCTCCTGCTCAGCATATAGGCTTGTTGCCCCCTTGGGCCATCTTGTTGTTGATGGGCATCTTGAAGAAGTTAACAGACTGGATGTAGGCGGCGATTTTCTCCAAAGCCCAGGCACATGAAAGCCTTCAGGTTTGGGAACTCATCCAGGCACTTGGGCTCAAATATACGGTTCTGATCCAAGGTATCACAGGTGAGAAAGTCCACATAGGTGAGCTTTTCCCCCCTCGCAAACCAATGAGAATTTCCCCAAAAACATGGAGGAGTGTTTCAGTTGTCCAGGTAGCTGTTCCAAGTACTGAGGCTTCAGTGTTTCGCGGTCAGGGCTGTAACAGAGCTTTATCAGTTGTATGCGGAAATCCATTACTTGGTTCTCTACGATGTCCACTTGAATCTTCTCTTCTTCAGTCTCTCCACCCATGTCGTGCTTGCGAGCGGTCCAGCAAGATGGCATTGTTCTGGGTGATCTTGTTCTTTCCATCCAGGAGGTAGGGCAGATTAGGAAACTCCAAGTCCAGCCTGATTTTCACATCCAGCCATTGGCTTCGATCATAGTCAGGAGCTTCCCCGCACGTGTAACGTTTCTCCTCGTAGGAGGTATCCGTGAACTCCAGGAGCAGGCCGACCGCAAATATCCCAGTACACCAGAACCAGCGACGGCTCGCACGACATGATGCTAGCTTGCTAGCCTTCGAGGACTTTATTATCATTATTTTTTTAAAGACAGGGGTTTGAAGCAGGCGCTGCGACTCCCGCCTGTAATCCCAGCACTTTGGGAGGCTGAGGTGGGTGGATCACCTGAGGTCAGGAGTTCGAAACCAGTCTGGCCAGAATGGTGAAACCCCCATCTTAATTTATTTTATTTTATTTTTATTTATTTTGAGACGGAGTTTCGCTCTTGTTACCCAGGCTGGAGTGCAATGGCATGATCTCGGCTCACCGCAACCTCCGCCTCCTGGGTTCAGGCAATTCTCCTGCCTCAGCCTCCTGAGTCGCTGGGATTACAGGCACGCGCCACCATGCCCAGCTAATTTTTTGTAGTTTTGGTAGAGACGGGGTTTCACCGTGTTGACCAGGATGGTCTCGATCTCTTGACCTCGTGATCCACCCGCCTCAGCCTCCCAAAGTGCTGGGATTACAGGCGTGAGCCACCGTGCCCGGCCAATTTTTGTATTTTTAGTAGAGAAAGGGTTTCACCACGTTTGCCAGGCTAGTTTTGAACTCCTGACCTCAGGTGATCCACCCGCCTCAGCCTCCCAAAGTGCTGGGATTACAGGCGTGAGCCACCGCGCCCGGCCCCATCTTAATTTATATATATATACGTATATTTAAAATGGGGGTTTCACCATGATGGCCAGGCTGGTCTTGAACTCCTGACCTCAGGTGCTCCGCCTGCTTGGGCCTCCCAAAGCGCTGGGATTACAGGCGTGAGCCACCGTGCCCAGCCGTGAAACCCCTTCTCTACTAAAAATACAAAAACTAGCCGGAAATTGGTTGAACCTGGGAACTGGACGTTGCAGTGAGCTGAGAACTGAACTCTAATCTGGGTGACAGAGTGAGACTCTGTCTCAAAAACAGAAAAAGAAAAAGAAAAAAAAAGGTGTGCATGTTTGGCCCAGGAGATGCAAGAGGTCTCCTTCACCTGTGGTACTGATGGGAAAACTCAAGCCTGAACGGGGACCAGTCCCCAGATCCGGAGTTCAGTAACAGGCAGAACTGGAACTTGGCCCCGTCCCGGTCTCAGAGGATGGGTGTCGTGTCCCCCGCTTCTACTTCATCCTCCCCACTCTGCTGACTTCCCAAAAATCCCCGGGTTCCGAGATTTCCCACGCCGACTGATGGGATTCGAACCGGTAAACTCAGAGCTCGCTCAGCCCAGCGGCCCCGCCCCTCCCCGCCCCGTCCCGTCCCCGGAAGATCATGTGAGCGCAGTGCGGGCGGGGAGGCGGAGCGACGGGGCGGCGCGCAGTCCATGCTGGGAATTGCAGTCCTGACCCCACCTTTGCCTCGCGCCGACCCCGCCCCTGGAACTACGCTCCCGTCGTGCTCCGCGGCTCCAGGCGGAGACGAGGCGGGGCAGGCCGGTTGCTAAGACTTGGCGAGGCGAAGCGCCCGCGCCCGCGTCCCTCAGGTAAGCGCGCGCGGCCCCGAGGTCTCAGGCTCTCTAGGCTTAGGCTCCCATGGGGGGAGAGTAGGGGTGGACATGGGGACTTCTCGGCGGTGAGGGGCGCCGGCCGTCCGTCGGGCGAAAATGAGGGGCTCGGGCCAGCCTCACGCGCGTCTCGGGTGGCGGGTGGGCGATGTGGGGAGGTGGCGCGGCTGCGCGTGCGCGCGAGCCTGGCGGGGACGGGGGGCCTCAGGGCGGCGTTGCCCCGGGCCCAGTGCTTTTCTGCGCGTGCGCGCCCCTACGACCTGGGCGGAAGACCCCGTGCGCTCCAGCTGCTTCCGGTGGCCCTGCCCCAGGTCATGGCCGCCAGTCCCCTGCCTTCGGAATGCAAGCTCGCAGGTTTCCTCCACCTTCGCGTCCCGCCTCCCCAGCTCGGGTTTGCCTTTAGGTGGAGACTCCCCCAGTCCTTTGCACATCCCCAAACTGACCATCATTCCTCATCGTTACCTAGACTGTGGGTTTTTAGGGTTTTACTATCACGCGGCGCCCCAGTTCTCTCCCACACCCTACCCCGATGGCCGAAGTTCCTCGCTGTCATGCAGAGAAGGCTTCCTTGTAGGGTGGCCAGAAACGGAATCCACGCCATGGAAAACAGGGATGGCCGGACGCGGTGGCTCATGCCTGTGACCCCAGCACATTGGGAGGCCAATGCAGGTGGATCACTTGAGGTCAGGAGTTCGAGACCAGCCTGGCCAACGTGGTGAAATCCCGTCTCTACTAAAAATACAAAAATTAGCCTGGCGTGGTGGTGCGCGCCTGTAATCCCAGCAACTCTGGACACTGAGGCAGGAGAATCGCTTGAACCCTGGAGGCGGAGGTTGCCGTGAGCCGAGATTGCACCACTGCACTCCAGCCCTGGCAAACTATTGAGACTCCCTCTCAAAAAAAAAATTTTTTTTTTATTTTTTTAAATTTAGCCAGGCGTGGTGGCACATGTCTGTGGACTAGCTACTCGGGAGGCTGAGGCAGTAGGATTCCTTGAGCCCAGGAGGTTGATGCTGCAGTGAGCTTTGATGGCGCTACTGCATTCCAGCCTGGGCAACAGAGTGAGACCCTGTCTCAAAATAAGTAAATAAAATACATGTGTGTAAAGAGACAAGTCCCAGGCCGGGCGAAGTGGCTCACGCCTGTCATCCCAGCACTTTGGAGGCCGAGGTGGGCGGATCAGGAGGTCAGGAGTTGGAGACCAGCCTGGCTGATAACGGTGAAACCCTGTCTCTACGAAAATAAGAAATTAGGCCGGGCACAGTGACTGATGCCTGTGATCCCAGCACTTTGGGAGGCTGAGTTCAAGACCAGCCTGGCCAAGATGGTGAAACCTCATCTCTACTAATACACAAAAAAAGAAATAAAGAAAAAATTAGCTGGGCAGGATGGCATGAACCTGTAATCCCAGCTACTCAGGAGGCTGAGGCCTCAGAGAATTGCTTGAAAAAAAAAAACCAGCTGGGCGCAGCGGCTCACACCTGTAAGCCAAGCACTTTGGAGGCCAAGGCGGGTGGATCACCTGAGGTTGGGAGTTCAAGACCAGCCTGACCAACATGGTGAGACCCCGTCTTTATTTAAAAAAAAAAAATCAGTGGCACGTGCCTGTTGTCCCAGCTACTCAGGAGGCTGAGGCAGGAGAATCACTTGAATCTGGGAGGTGCAGGTTGCAGTGTGCTGAGATCGTGTCACTGGACTCCAGCCTGGTCAAAAGAGTGAGATCCTGTCTCCAAAAAAAAGAAAAAAAAAAGAAACAAGACGTCTCGAAGACTATTTGGCATGCCTTGGAAGTGAGCATTATGTCCTCCTTCTCCTCGGTGTTCTCTCCCTGGCTTCCCCAGCCTTCCAGGCCAGGCTGTGGGTCACTGCCTCTGAGGAGCCTTCCTGGACTCTGCTGGAGATGGTCAGGCGCCTCCCACTTTCTCTTTAGCTTTTGACAGCCCTGCCTTAAAGGCAGAGCGCGAATTCCCATTTCGCAGGGGTGGAAGCTGAGGCTTGGAGGGGTCAAGACTGCTGCCTAAGCTCTCGAAGCTGGGCTCAGCACCTCTAGGGCAGGTGCAGCACCGGGTGTGTTTCCTGGGCGGACACACCCAGGTTCCAGCGCTGACCTTGGCATCCTCATCTGTGGGCTTAGATAAGGGCCTCCCAGCCTCCAGTTCGCCAGGGTTGTCCCCACCCAGGGCCTGACTCAGCTGCCTGAAGCTCTGGCAGTTCACGTCCCTGCTCAGAGACAGCCCAGGCTGGGGGCTGCGTTCTGCTGGGACCTGGGTGGCCTGCACTCCTGAGAGGTCTCTTCTGGGTGGGTGTGGTAGGGGAGGGTCAGGTGGCCCCCTCTGTTGGGGCAGTCGCTGCAGGCATGCCTCATGCCCCTGGGCCACAGTGGTGGGTAGGAGCTGTACTGGTAGTTGAGGCCGCCCTGCCCCAGGACAGTTAATCAGCCTGAGCTCTGTGCCTGCTTGGGACTTTTTTTTTTTTTTTTTTTTAAGAGTCTGGCTGTGTTGCCCAGGCTGGAGTGCAGTGGTGACATCTCAGCTCACTGCAACCTCCGCTTCCTGGGTTCAAGTGATTCTCTTGCCTCAGCCTCTTGAGTAGCTGGGATTACAGGTGCCATTATCACACCAAGCCAGTGTGTGTGTGTGTGTGTGTGTGTGTGCACGCGTGTGTTTGTATGTGTGTTTTAAAGATGGGGTTTCACCATGTTGGTCAAGCTGGTCTTGAACTCCCAACCTCAGGTGATCTGCCTTGGCCTCCAAAGTGCTTGGATTACAGGGGTGAGCCACCACGCCCGGCCGTGTGTGTGCTTTGAGTCAAAGTTTTGCTCTTGTTGCCCAGGCTGGAGTGCAGTGGTGTGATCTCGGCTCACTGCAACCTCTTCCTCCCGGGTTCAAGCGTTCTCCTGCCTCAGCCTCCCTAGTAGCTGGGATTACAGGCATGTGCCACCACACCCGGCTAATTTTGTATTTTTAGTAGAGACTAGGTTTCTCCATGTTGGCTAGGATGGTGTCAATCTCTTGACCTCGTGATCCGCCTGCCTCGGCCTCTCAAAGTGCTGGGATTACAGGCGTGAGCCACGGTGCACAGCCGGTCCCAGGAGTCCTACCTCTCATCCAGGGCATGGCGGGCCCAGCCCGTGCTGTCCCGGCGGCTGCCTCCTCTCCAGGTCTTTTGTTCGTTTTTCATCAGAGGTTGTACTCTTAGAGGGACAAGCCAAGGCTTCATTTGTCTTTTACCCTGGAGACAGTGGAGTGTTTGTGGCCCTGCTGGGCCGCATAGGCCTCATGGTCCTGGCGGCGCATGGTGTGCGTGTCTGGAGGGCCCAGCGAATCGGCTACTGTGGGCACCACCTCGAAGCTTTGCAGTCAGGGCTCCCCCTGCACCTCCGCTTCTGTGCTGTGTTGCAGTTGTGAGCTTCAGGCAGTGCTAGGGCCGCTTCAACATACCCTCCAAAGCCACTGTCCGGAGTTACACTGGGTGCTGGTCCCCCATCTGTGGGGTGCCCCGGTGGCTGAGGCATGAACTGGGTAGGGCATCACGAGGAGTGGTGCCCACAGCCCACAGTTGCACAGTGATTCAGACACATCCCTGTCTGCGGGAGGATCTGTCCACACCGGTGGGAATGTGTGGTCCGGGTGGGCCTGGTGTTCAGGATTGTCCAGAGTCATGTTCAGATCATCTGAGGTGAGCTCCAGCACCATCTGAGGCGCGGTGGCTCACACCTGTAATCCCAGCCCTTTGGGAGGCCTAGGTAGGCGAATCACCTGAGGTCAGGAGTTCGAGACCAGCCTGGCCAACATGTATTTTTAGTCTCTACTAAAAATACAAAAAGTAGCCGGGGGGGGGGCGGTGGTGGGCGCCTGTAATCCCAGCTACTCGGGAGGCCGAGGCAGGAGAGTCACTTGAACACAGGAGACACAGGTTGCAGTGAGCCGAGATCGCACCACTGTACTTCAGCCTGGACCACAGAGTGAAACGGCATCTCAAAAAACAAAAACAAAAAAACAACGTGTGCTGTGCGTGCTGGCTCACGCCTGTAATCTCAGCCTCAGGCCTGCGATTTGAATCGGTGGGAACAGAGGGCCGGCCAGCCCAGTGGTTTGGGGATGCTCAGGGGGGGTGGATGGCAGAGATCTGGGACCCAGAAGCACCACCCCCCAGGGGCTGTGAGCAGTCCCTGCAGGCTGCCTATCCCCGCCCCTGCCTCTCTGCTCTGTTGTCTGCCCCCCAGGGCAGGCTTCCCTCTGGTGAGGAATCCTGAGAGCTGGGGACCCCGCCAGCCCTTCCTCTCCCCTGGAGGCCCCCACTGCCTCCCATCCTCACCTGGGCCAGTAGCAGGGATGTTCATGGTGCTGGTGATGTCAGGCAAGAGGTTCTCACCTGATAGCCACCTTGGCACAGTGCCTGGCAGTGAGGGATGTTAGCAGGAGCCCCGGGGATGTTCCCAGCTCCTCCTGCCAGCCCCATTCCAACCAGGGCCTCCTCTGTGACTGAGTAGGCAGGGACACCCAGGTGGCTACCTGCCCCACCCAACAGCTGGGGCCCACCACGGCTGCAGGAACATGGTCAAGGGATGGGAAGCCAGGCCTGCGGGGGGAGGGCTGCGCTCCAGGCTTAGGTTCCGTGGCCTGTGCTCCGAGGCCTTTCTTCCCAGCCCTTGGCTGACTGGGGCGGGGTGCGGGGGGAGTGTTTACAGAAACCACCTGGAGGTGGGCATTTGGTGTCAGGGCCAGATTGTGTCCTGTTCTGGGAGGTGGCCCCGTGTCCCCCACACGTGGCATCCCCCACGTGGTGTCCCCCACACGTGACATGCTTGCTCTCTGTCCCTGCATAGCAGACTGCGCATCTGCGCACTTAAAACACCACCAGCTCCTGGTTCTGTGGGTTGGGGCCTGGGTATGATGTGGCTGGGTCCTCTGCGTGGGGTCTCACCGGGCTGGAACCCTGGTGTCAGCCAGGGCTGTGTAGTCATCTGAGGGCTCAGCAGGGGAGACATCTGATTCCAGCTCACGCAGGTGTCGGTGGAATTGTGCGCCTTGTGGCCAGAGGACCAAGGGTCACGCTCAGTTCCTGGCCACGTGGCTCTTCTGTCTGGAAGCCAGGCACTGCCTGTCGACAGCTTGTGCTTCCAGGCTCTGGCATCTGGAGATCCAGAGATCACATCAGTGGCTGCCTGGGTTGCTGTGTGTGCTGTGGGTAGACAAGTTTTCTCTTGGAGGTGATGGAATGTTCTGGAATTTTATAGTGGTGATGATTGCCCAACTCCAAGCATACTAAGAGCC